TGTAAAGACAAAAGTTAACACGGTGTCTATTTTATTTAACAAAATTTCCTGCTTTGTCCTTTTTCGCACGGTTTATCTTTTTTTTGTTAAATTTAAATTTACTTGATTTTATCCATAAATAAATCTACAAATGGCTATAAAAATTTACTTATTTTTATGAAAATACTCTTTCTTAAGTTCATATAAAATATAGATTATATTACTAGCTGTCGTACCCGTCTACGACAGTTTTTTGTTTCTACTAATACATTTAACAGGGTAACTACCAAACGGGGAAAACTGGAAAAAGCTGGGAATTTTCCAATCAAATTAAGAAAAAGTTTCATTATATTAATTCGCTTTTAAAAAATTGCTTTTTACTTTAATTTTTATTGATGTATAATATTTATGAAAACAGACCCGGGTCAAAATTTAAGCCCTACTTTCAGTCTAAAATATAGGTCTTATGTTAGGTTTTAGCAGTCGTAACCTTTGCGATACAATTAGTTCCAATTAGACTCTACTATAACTCCAAAAACTGGGTGGGAAATTTGATAAATTTTTAATGCATTAATTAAAGTACTACAAATTGACAAATATTGTTCTCTGCATTTGAATTGGTTAAAATAACTAATTTGATAATAAAAAGTCAATCACTGATTCAAATAGTAATATTTTCCTACTGAAATAGCTATAATGGTACCTAACTAATTATTATTTTTTTCCGGTCAAATTAAATTCCTGAGCTATTTCCTTATTTTCCAAATTGGTAGACACACTGTTAAATGTATTGGTAGAAACTAAAACCCGTCGAAGACGGGTACGACAGCTATAATATATATAATATATATGTTACCGGCAAAACCCGAAGACCAGGCATTTCTCAAAATGCCTAAGATTTTAGGAAATATCCGAATTTCCTAGAGATTTACAGGCAGTTCTCGAATTACCTAGGCATTTCGAGAATTGACTAGGCGATTCGCGAAATGCCGGGACCGTTTTAGGCAAATTAGCAATTTGCCTGAAAAGGCTTCGTCATTTCGCGAATTATTTAGTCAATAATTCAAGAAATTGATTAAATAATGGAGTGTATATAGGTAGATTTAACTTAAATTCTTATATTTTTTGAATAATCCTAATTATTAATTTGGAGTAAAAATTCTTGAAACGTGCCACCTAAAATTAAAAAAATTTATTTTTCGCTAAAATGTTGTTTTTCCTATAGTGTTTTATATAAAAAAGCACTATAACAAAGGATTTGACAAAAAAAAAATTTTTTGTTATTATTATAAACAATTAAATTTTTTAGACTTTTTTTTAAAATTAATTGAAAAAAACTTGTTAACCGATTTTAATGATCCAAGAGGCATTCTTTTCTATTTGAGTCTTAAGAATCTATTCCTCTTTAATTTAAAACAAAGAACACTGAAATCGAATAAAAATTGTAAGCTATAGATATTTTTGAACAGTAAATTGTAAAAAAATCCCACTGCAATGGGATTTTTCTTGTTATTAATTTTTTTCTTAAATGATGCAAGAATTTGTTATTATAAAAAATGGTTTAAATAACAATTCAATTTTGATTTTTTTATTTATAATCATATAAGGTTTAGTAAATTGCAAAATTAGGAAAAAACTGCAACTTTCTAGGTGTATTCTGTAAAAAGTTGGTAAATAGCAACAATAATTTGTTTAAACAAATAGAAAATTCATTGTAACATCAAAATATGTTGTATTTATTGACATAAAACAATTTTATTGTGAAACTTTCATGATTTCATTTTTATTTTCTTGCAATATACAAAATAACATCCGAACGTTTTTCAGTAGTGTTAAACATAGTTTTTTAATTGTTATAAATAAACAAGAAGAAATGTAAAAAAAATTTTATTTTTTTTATTTTTCGAAAGTAGATAAAATTTTGTTCAGTGACTTAAAATCGCGATTCGATTGATGCAAAAATCGAGCAGATTTACAACATTATTTATTGCTTGGCCATCCGGTAGCGCGAAGGTTAATAATAGTAAGAAATATAATTGAGTAATGAAGGAAATTTGGATTATTTCTTTTGTCTATAAATGGCTCAGATAATCCATTTCTCAATTTGCCTAAAATGACAAATTCTTTTTAGGCAAGTTGCCAATTTGCCTAAAACGGCCTCGGCATTTCGCGAATCGCCTAGTCAATTCTCGAAATGCCTAGGCAATTCGAGAACTGCCTGTAAATCTCTAAGAAATTCGGGTATTTCCTAAAATCTTAGGCATTTCTCGAATTGCCTAGGCATTTCGCAAAATGCCTGGTCTTCGGGTTTTGCCGGTAACATATATATATATGTAAAATATTATATATATATATATGTTACCGGTAAAACCCGAAGTCCAGGCATTTTGCGAAATGCCTAGGCAAATCGGGAAATACCTAAAAGTGGCCAGGAAATTCGAGTTTTACCTAGAAATTTTAGGCATTTCTCAAATTGCCTAGGTATTTCGCGAAATACCTAGTCATTTCGCGAAATGCCCAAGTCGATTTAGGCAAAATGAAAAGTTGATCATTTGTAAGCTGCGCATACTAATGTAAACAGATTGTTTACAAAATTATTAGTCTATTACACTGTTCGACAAAATATTGCTACAAGAATACGTCTCAATTTTGAGAAAAACGGGGTCAAAGTATCAAAATATGCCATTTTTAGCACTTTTTGAAGCACTATAAAAAAGAACGCGATGTGATAGAAAGCTCAAATATGTCTTAAATAAGAGCTCGAACCCTCAACTTTAACATCCAAAAGCAAAAAGCCAAGTAGAAATAACTTAAAATTGTGGGGAACAACTTTTTATTAATTTACCCTATATGATCGCTAACTAAAATAATAGCTGATGGGCGCGCACGCGGTAAAAAGTTGTTCACCACAATTTTGAGTTATTTCTACATAGTTTTTTGTTTTTAGATTTTAAAGTTGAGGGTTCGAGCTCTCATTTAAGACATATTTGAGCTTTCTATCACGTCGCGTTCTTTTTTTTATAGTGCTTCAAAAAGTGCTAAAAATGGGATATTTTGACACTTGGACCCCGTTTTTCTCAAAATTGAGACGTGATGGGACAATTTAACTTACAGATTCGTAATCTACGGCGAAAATCCCGTAAGTTTGACATGCTGCAACAAATAACCAGCAAAAAATATATGTTCACAATTAAGGTTTCAATAAATTTTTCAATTTGCCTAAATCGACTTCGGCATTTCGCGAAATGCCTAGGAAATTTACGAAAATGCCTAGGCAATTCGGAAAATACCTAAAAATGTCTAGGAAATTTGAGTAATACCTAAGATTTTAGGTATTTCCCGATTTGTCTAGGCATTTCGCAAAATGCCTGGACTTCGGGTTTTACCGGTAACATATATATATATATATATATTTTTTTTTTTTTAGTGTACATATTGCTGAAAACGTTGAACGAAAAATTGTGTGGACGAAGGAAACATTTTAATATAATATAAGATTTAAATTTATTTCAGAGGCAATATCTATAAAAGAGAAAAAAATTTCTATTTATAGTTGAAATTTTTCTTTTAATTAATTGACTCAATCAGGTAATAAACATTATAAGTTAAGAAATATTTATATTTTTAATGAAGTAAACCATTATTCAGTTAAAACAGTATACATTTAAATGCATATAAATAAATATATTTTGTCTGTGAAAAAAGAACAAAGTTAAATATTTGTTTATAACAAATGTAATTGTTTAAGCTAATAAATTTTTTAAGTTTTTGAAAGAATGTACATATGTTATAAATAATAATTAAAGTTTAAAAAATGACGAAAATGTTTACAAATACAAAAGGATTTTTTTACAAAAGTTGATTTTTCAAATTTACTTGTATAGAGTTGCATTGTGCACAATTTAAGGCACTTTTCCTATGTGACGGTTTAAAAAAATCGATTTTTTTGCATGTTTCGAAAGTACAATATCTCAGAAATATCGTGTAAAAGTTTTAGACAGATATTTGAAAAACTAACAAAGTTACAGCGCGTAGAATTAAACAGTGCAAGGGCGCGAGCTTCAGCTACCAAAACTTTAAACGCGTTTTTCTCAAAACCACTTTTTTCTAACTGGTGACAAGGATTACTCAAAATCTATTTAACCACTTCGGCGGCATGGCGTTCCAATTATGGCGTTCCATGAGTAAGTGGCAGAAGCGGCACAAAATGCGAAAATGGCGTTCCTACTTGAACTCGATTTCAAAAGTCTGTAGTCAAGTTAAACTTGCCAAAATTGAATATTCTTATTATTTAAGATAAATGAAGATGAATAGACCAAAAAAAATTATTTTTTGGAGGTGTTAAATGGTTTTATAAAGGTTTTAATGTAGCCAATTTTTAACACTTTTTACGAATGGCGTTCCAATATTCACCCAAAATAGTTCACAATATTGGATCCGCCTATTTGAATTTTTGAAAATCAATTTAAGATTCATAATCTCAAATAATAAAAAACATTTGGTTTGGTAAACTTAATTTGTTTACAGAGTTTAGAAATCAAGTTTAAATTGGAACGCCATTTTCGCATTTTTTGCCGCTTCTGTTACCTACACACGCGACACCAATTGGAACGCCATGCCGCTGAAGTGGTTAACCGATTGGTCTGCAATTTGGAGGCATTATTCTACACATGAGTGGCTATCGTGTGAACCTTGGTCATGATTTTACATAAACATTTTCCTATTTTTATAAACAATTACTTACGAAAAAAAAGCGATTTTTGAATTTTTTTTAACAGTCCGCCATTTTGTTATTTATTAAGATATATTGTTTATTGAGGTTCACACGATAACAGTAAGCCTACTGAGTAAAACTACATTTGATTTTTTTATTTCAGACAATACTGAAGAAAGTTTTTGTTACGACCGTTCACCCGTGCATTTTCAAAGGAGTCACCTTTGACTCATAAAAATAATTATTAAATGATTTGAAAAATCACTAAAAAAAAATTTTTTTGTATATTTTTAGACACCAATTATAATATGTAAAATAAGTTATAGAATTATATTTTATTTTCTGTGAAAAAAAAATTCCTGAAAAAAGCCTGAAATTTTGGCAGTCACATAGGAAAAGTGCCTTTAACTGTGTACAATTAAACTGTATCGAGTTTAAGTTTAACATTTTTATAAATTCTCTGTATACAAATGAACAGTGCAGAATTAACTGTATGGAAATTCACTGTGTACAACTGAATTGTATAGAACCGATACCCCGCTACTAGTTACTAATGAAAAAAACAAAGCACCTGTTTTGTTCTCCGGATTTAAAAATCCTCTCGGTGACAGGGCAATGAGGTGAATAAGATAAAAAATGCGACCTCTTTGCTGCTGCACTTACTCTCTCATTTGAAAGAGTTTGAATTTATTAAAATATAAAAATACTTTTAGTTTTTGCGTGCGATCAGTAAGACGATTGCTTGTCGAAAGAGTAATGAAGCGAGGGAAAATTCCCCCACATTCCGTACAGATAACGCGGGAGAAATATTTCTCGAATACATTTTGGCGCGTTTCAGCACAATAAGAGGACTGTTGGTAAATATCATTAATTGAAAACGTAGATCTTTACATAATCATTTTTCCAACCGATAGAAAATCCTCTAATCTGCTATGCCGGCAAAATTGAAAATAATTTTCTTTTTATAAAAAATAAATTAAGCAAATCGAACATACAGCCCACTTTGATGCTTCTTAGCATCAACAAATAGGAAGACAAATCAAAATAAATATAAAGTAATATGTGCAGTCAAAATCACAATAAATAAAAATGTGAGAAAAAACAGGATATGTTAATTAAAATTAAAAATCAGTCTTTGTGTTCCTCGTCACAAGGAAGAGGGCACAATTTTGTCAGCGCACGCCTGACAATTCCAGTAGCAGTGCGCACAGAAAAGACACGAGAAAGACCATCTTTCCCAGGATGAGCTTCAACAACACGCCCTATCCTCCACTGAGCCGGAGCTGTATTGTCGTCCTTTAAAATGACCAGCGACTCCAACTTTACAGCCTCCACATCCTTCATGTCCCATTTACATCGAGCTTGCAGTCCCGCCAAGTATTCCAAACTCCACCTCTTCCAGAAGTGCTGGACCAATTGCTGCATCCTTTGGAATCTACAAAGGCGATTTTCGTTTAAGTGAAGCAAATCTGGATCAGGAACCATCGAGATTGGCTCGCCTATCAGGAAATGTGCAGGTGTAAGGGGTTGAAGGTCGTTTGGATCATTGGATAAAGGAGAAATAGGACGAGAATTTAGGCAGCCTTCTATCTGCACAATAATCGTATTGAAATCCTCATAAGTAATATTAGAATTTGATAGTATTTTTTTAAATGCGTTTTGGTGGACTTCACTCCTGCCTTCCACAATCCACCAAAATGAGGTGCTCGAGGAGGAATGAAGTGCCACTGAATGCCTTCATCGCTGGTTAGCCTTTCAATTTCTTCTTTATTCGACTTTAAAAAAGCAAAAAGTTCCGAGAGTTCCCCCTCTGCCCCGACAAAATTAGTACCGTTATCGGAGTAAACATTCGCTGGTTTACCTCGTCTAGACGCAAACCGTCTCAGCGCCGCTATAAAGGAATTCGACGTTAAATCGCTCACGAGCTCCAAATGAATCGCCCTTGTCACGAAGCATATGAACAAGCATATATAGGCCTTTATCAATTTTGAGCCTAGCAATTTTCTATCTTTTATTAAAAAAGGTCCCGCGTAATCGACACCCACTTGCAAGAAAGGACGCGAAGTAGTAACACGTGAGGCCGGCAAATCACCCATATATGTTGTGACTGACTTTAGTGCGGCACGAAAACACGTGTAACATTTGTTAATCACCCCCCTTACTTGGGATCTACCGCTTATTGGCCAAAATACTTCCCGGAGAGAACCTAAAACCGCCTGTGGTCCGGCATGTAATAATCGTTCATGCTCATGCTTAATAATTAATTTTGTTAATCTGTGATTTTTTGGCAATAATATGGGATGTTTTTTATCAAAATTATATTTAGAGTTTTTCAAACGACCACCCACTCTCAAAATGCCTTCATTTAGAAAAGGACTCAATAGCAATAATTTACTTTTATTTTGTAAATCACGATTCTGACTTAAGGTCAATATTCCACGCGAAAAGCACTCGCTCTGAGCCATTCTTACTAAAACAAGATTAGATAAAAGCAATTCCTTAGTACTTAAAAAACCAGATAATCTATTTTCTTTAGAATTTTTCGCATTTTTTACAAATCTTAAACAATACGCAATGACACGACGCAATTTAGAAAATGTCGAAAATCTATCAAAAATAAAATTTTTTGATTCGGAAATTGATACCAAAGTCACGGATTTTTGTTCAGGAATCGAATCTTCGGGAATATTAAATTTGTTATTAGGCAATTCATACCTTAACTCGAGCAACCAGCTGGGGCCATGCCACCACAAATTATTGCTTATCAAATTTTGTATTTCCACACCGCGCGATAACAAATCTGCCAGGTTTTCTATTCCGCTCACGTGATACCAATTCGAAATATCGGTGTTTTCCTAAATTTCCGCTACCCTATTTGAAACAAAGGTTTTCCATTTACTAGGACAAACCCTGATCCATGCTAAAGTTACCGTGCTGTCCGACCAACAATATTGAGCGTCAAATATTATATTTAGAGATTCACGTACTTTTACAATTAATTGGCTTAAAATCACTGCCCTGCACAATTCGAGTCTCGGGATTGATAATCTTTTAAGAGGAGCTACTCGACTTTTTGACGCGAGCAAATGAACCGAAACCATCGATGATTCATCAACCGAGCGAACATACACACAGGCACCGTATGCCAATTCAGATGCGTCGCAGAAACCATGCAATTCCAAACGAACGGAGTTCACACGCATCACATGTCTAGGAACCTGAATTTTATTAAGGAGTTTAAAATCATCCTTCAATGATAACCATTTTGTTCTCAAATCTAAAGGTATCGCTTCATCCCAAGATAGACCCAGCTGCCATAAGCGCTGTAAAATGACCTTGACACTTGTCGTAACCGGAGTGATCAAACCTAAAGGGTCAAAAATCTGCGCTATACATGAAAGAATCTGACGTTTGGTAACCTGTGATCCTTTTATTTTTAGATCGACGGAAAAAGATAGATAATCTTCATCGTGATTCCATGCTATTCCGAGAGCCTTAAAACCTTCTGACGAGTTAACAATAAAATTCTTATCATCATTGCGATCCTGACCAATTTGTTTTAAGAATTCTTTATTATTCGAGGACCATTTACGAAGATGAAATCCCCCTGATGCCAATATGCGAGTTAATTCGTGCTGAATATAAATTAATTCTTCAAAATTATCCGAACCAGACAAAACGTCGTCGACGGAAAAACAATTCATAATTATATCACTTATTAACGGGTAATTTTCTTTATTTATTTGCGCTAATTCACTTAGGCATCTTATGGACAAAAAGGAAGCAGAAGCAGTGCCATAAGTTACAGTATTAAGCTCAAAACAGCTGAGAGGTAGGGAAGAATCGAACCGCCAAAAAATGCGTTGAAAAACTCGATCATCCTCATTAATTAGTATCATACGATACATTTTAGTGATATCCGCCGTGAATGCGAAAGTATATTTTCGAAAAGATACAAGAATTGCAAAAATATCCCTTTGAATTGTTGGACCTACTAATTGCACGTCATTGAGAGACAATCCATTTGTTGTCTTTGAGGAAGCGTCAAAGACAGCTCGAAGCGCAGTAGTGGAAGACGTGAGCTTAATGACGGCATGGTGGGGAATATAATAAGCTAAGCGCTTATCATTAATTTACCTTATTTCCGTCATATGCCCTAAATCTAAATATTCTTGCATAAAATCATTATATTTTTCCCTTAATAATTTATGCTTGCGAAGTTTCCTCTCTAACGAATGAAATCTCCTAGCATATTATCGTCTTTTGATTTAAACGGAATAGAAACAACAAATTTTCCATCAGGTAATCGATAAGTATTATTTCTAAAATGAATTTCGCAAAGTTCTTCAGGTGGTGTCAATGATTTAGGATTCAAAAATTTCTCCTCAATTTCCCAAAAATCGCGCAATTGTCGATCAATACCAATATCTAAATTAAAATGGCATAATAAATTTTGAGAATTTTTATTTGGAATAATTATCGGTCCGGAAACAATCCAACCTAAATGAGTTTTCTGCATTACTGGCTGATCACGACCTAGACGAACTTGACCTTGACATAACAGATCCCAAAAAAGTGATGCACCAATTAGCATGTCTATCGGTGCAGACTCGTTAAAATCTGGATCAGCCAGAGGCAAATCATCTGGTATATTTAATCCCTGATAATCGAAAGACGTTCCCGGAATATGTGAAGTAATAACTGGCAATACTAGACACGATAAATTTGCTTTAAAAGAATTTAATCTTGAAAACACGTCAATGTTTACGCGCTTGCTTATCTTCGTAACACCCGAACCGATTCCTGACACACTGAGGTGAATTGGCCTTGAAGTCAGCTGTAATTTTTCACACAGCTCCTGAGTGACGAAACTAGATTGCGAAGCAGAGTCCAGTAATGCCCGTACATCGTGGGTACCCCCACCTTTATCCACAACTCTGACTAATGCGGTTGCCAATAATATTTTTCTACGCGGCTCATTCAAATTATGTGCTGAAATAATATTTGAAGCAACTATCTCGGGAGACGAATCTACATTTTTCTCATCATTGTCCTCTAAATGCAAAATTGAATTATGTCGCTTTTTACATATTATACATGACATTTTATTTCTGCAATCACGCGTTCTATGTCCCCCCAAAAGGCAATTGAGACACAAACGAAATTTCCTTGCCTCTTCTATACGATCACTTATAGAGAGTTTTAGAAAATTCGAACAGGGTCAAAATTCGTGAAGTGGGCAACTAATTTTCAGTTGGTCAATAAGTTTTCATAAAATTTATGTTTTTCTGTTTGAAATAATAAATAAAAAATACAAGTTGAACAGTTTTGCAAAATTCGTTTTTTTGTTGTACATATTGTTAAACAAACTTTTTTGCATGAATTTAGAAAAGTTTTTTTTTTAAATAAAGTAATAGGTAAAATTTAATGATTTTTGGTATGGTTATATAAAAATAACACGATTTTTGATTAACATTTTTCATTTTAAAATTTAACGTAATTTGATAAAATTATAAACAATTTATTTAAACAAATGAAAATAAATGCAACTTCTCGATCTGTTATTTTATTTTTCAAAATTGAATATTATTCCTTATTTAATGCCCAAGTATTACCAAAAAGAAAAAATTGGTATTTTACATTTGTTCAAAATAAATAAATAATTATGTTAATAATAATAAGCATTAAAAAATCATAAAATCTTAAAAAAAATTTTTTAGCTTCATTAATTAACAAAATTAATTAAAAAAACCTATTAAAATAATGTTTGAGTGTTTCTGATGTATGAAAAAAGTATAACAATTTATTAAATTGTTTAAACAATTAATTGTTGTAATTTTTTTAAATCTGCACTTAGGGCTAAAAATTTCTAGTTTTTTCTCAATAATTGTGCAATTTGTCAAGAGTAAAACATCTTGTAATGATAAAAAATAAAAAATAAATTAATTAAACATTGTTTAAACAATTAATTGTTATTTTTCTCATAAAGTGTACTTAGAGCTAGAAATATCTAGTTTTTTCTAAATTCAATCAACTAAAAAAATTAAATTTAAAAAAATAATAAAATAAATGTTAATAAATTGTTTAAACAATGGTTAAATAATAAATTTTTAGTTTTTCTATTACACTTAAGTGTTTAAGTTATATAAAAAATGTCACAATTAAGAAAAAACTAGGAATTTATAGTTTTAAGTACAGTAAATTGAAAAATTAATAGAATAAATTGTTTAAAGAATGTTTAAATATTTAATTTTTTGCTTTTCTTTGATACTTAAATGTGGTAGTTACAAGAAAATGCACAATACAGAAAAAACTAGAAATTTCTAATCCCAAGTACACTTTATGAGAAAAATAACAATTAATTGTTTAAACAATGTTTAATTAATTTATTCTTTATTTTTTATCATTACCAGATGTTTTACTCTTGACAAATTGCACAATTATTGAGAAAAAACTAGAAATTTTGAGCCCTAAGGGCAGATTTAAAAAAATTACAACAATTAATTGTTTAAACAATTTAATAAATTGTTATACTTTTTTCATACATCAGAAACACTCAAACATTATTTTAATTGGTTTTTTTAATTAATTTTGTTAATTAATGAAGCTAAAAAAAATATTTTTAAGATTTTATGATTTTTTAATGCTTATTATTATTAACATAATTATTTATTTCTTTTGAACAAATGTAAAATACCAATTTTTTCTTTTTGGTAATACTTGGGCATTAAATAAGGAACAATATTCAATTTTGAAAAATAAAATAACAGATCGAGAAGTTGCATTTATTTTCATTTGTTTAAATAAATTGTTTATAATTTTATCAAATTACGTTAAATTTTAAAATGAAAAATGTTAATCAAAAATCGTGTTATTTTTATATAACCATACCAAAAATCATTAAATTTTACCTATTACTTTATTTAAAAAAAAAACTTTTCTAAATTCATGCAAAAAAATTTGTTTAACAATATGTACAACAAAAAAACGAATTTTGCAAAACTGTTCAACTCATATTTTTTATTTATTATTTCAAACAGAAAAACATAAATTTTATGAAAACTTATTGACCAACTGAAAATTAGTTGCCCACTTCACGAATTTTGACCCAACATGTTTTTATTGAATGAGAACCCTTGCAAATTACGCAAGTTTCCCCGCTAGTAGTCAAAAGGGTTTTTGTTGCTTGACGCGAACGTTTAGTATTTGCATTAGAAATATTATTTATCGAATCATCTTTTTTTATACTTTGAAGGACCTGACAACGATCGTTAAGAAATTTAAACATTTCCTTAAGCGTGGGGATTTCATTCGCACATTTTACACCCTTCCAATCCCTAAGAGTAATTTCTACGGTTGAGTACAATTGACGAAGGCTCGAATATGACTCTTGCTGTAGTCGTTGTATATTAAAAATCGCGTCAAGATGGCTACCGATAATTAAATTTTGATTTTCATATCTTTTCTGTAGCAAGTCCCAAGCAATAGTATAATTTGATTCCGTTGTTTCTAGGGCTTGAATTTGATCCGCGGCCTCCCCTGCAAGTGCTGAACGCAAATAATGAAATTTTTCAATTTTTGACAGAGTCGCGTGATCGTGTATTAAAGATTTATAAGTATCTCGAAAATTTAACCATTGTTCATATGCCCCAGAAAAGGTCGGAATACTAATTGTCGGCAATTTGACTTGATTTCGAAAAGGCGTGTAATTCGGTAATGGCGCACGATTTTCATCACTTAAATTTCTCGTCGAACTCCCGGAAGTCGAGCTCTGAGACGTCGCGTCCAATTTTTTATTAATTATGCTGTTTGCTAAACCGACGGCGGCATAGAAGGAACTCTCAAACGCTTCAATTTCCAACGTGAATTGTTCTTCGCTACCTTCGATAAGGAAAACGTTATTTTTGATTTCGGAAAATTCGTCTAACAAACTATTAGCTTTAAGTAATCTCGCCCGCACTTCCTCGATCTCGCCATTTTCAGCGTCAAAGGCATTCAAATAATTTTTGAAACGCGTTAAACTACCCTTTAAAATTTTTCTTTTTTGTTTTAATGCGTCTAGATCTGTCGACATCATTTTGTCTCAGATTAAAATAATTCAAAAAATATCTAGCGCGCACAGAGTCAAATATTAAAATGTTAAAAAAGAAAGAAAAGAAGGAAAGTTAAAATTTATGAAAAAAACAACACGAGAATAAAAACACAAATAGTATTTTGCCACAAATAAAAGAATGATAGAGGAGAAAGAGAGATAAGAAAGATACACATGACCTGATATATCCAGGAAGGCGATGATGCTCTGCTTTTCTCGTCATCCAGATGTTGTGGGAAAATTCATCGAGTTGAATTTTTGCTCATTCCATTGATGAGATGTGCTCATTTCGGTCTGCAAATCGTGAAGATCGTCGCTTAGTTCCAAGAAACACGTGGCTGCGATGAGGAAAAGTCCAACATGGCGATGTCCAAACAGCAAACGTGGTGATATCTCCAAGGAAATCCGGCTCGAAGGACCAATGTTTTGTTCTCCGGATTTAAAAATCCTCTCGGTGACAGGGCAATGAGGTGAATAAGATAAAAAATGCGACCTCTTTGCTGCTGCACTTACTCTCTCATTTGAAAGAGTTTGAATTTATTAAAATATAAAAATACTTTTAGTTTTTGCGTGCGATCAGTAAGACGATTGCTTGTCGAAAGAGTAATGAAGCGAGGGAAAATTCCCCCACATTCCGTACAGATAACGCGGGAGAAATATTTCTCGAATACATTTTGGCGCGTTTCAGCACAATAAGAGGACTGTTGGTAAATATCATTAATTGAAAACGTAGATCTTTACATAATCATTTTTCCAACCGATAGAAAATCCTCTAACCTGCTATGCCGGCAAAATTGAAAATAATTTTCTTTTTATAAAAAATAAATTAAACAAATCGAACAGCACCAGTCCCATAAAAATACACTCTTACTCAATCTTTTATAATTAGATATTAAAAATAATTTTTATGTTCTATACGGTCAAAAACAGAAAAGTCTAAAGTAACTTTATATAAAAGTTATGATCGTTTCACTGTCACATTACCAAATCTTACATTTTTCTAAATTTTGACAAGATAAGCCATCAAGTCTCTGACAAGTGACTAAACAGTTTATCTGGTCATGATTTCTGATCATTAATTCTGACAAGTCACTGGCCGGAAATTTTGGTCACAATCGGTGACCAGTTCTTCTGTTCTTAAACTTGTATAGTTATGATAAGTTACTATCTAGTCACCGTCGCAAAAATATAAATAAATATGTAAAAATGAACAAAATAAAAAGAGTCTGAAAAAATTATATTTATCCTAGATTTTGAGCAGAAAACTGTCCAGTTACTTGTCAGTCACTGGCCAGATAATCTAACCAGTGACTGCTAAAGCAGCGCGTTACATTTCTAATCAATCACTTGCCAGATTTTCTGGTCAATAACTGGCCAGAATTTAGAAAAACTTCACAGGGACTGGTCATAACAGAGTTGAAATTTCGATTTTTATTTTTCAAATTCGTTAAAAATAATGCAAAATTTTTTTTCTTTATTCTAATTATATTTATTATAAAATATGAGATTTGAGGCACAATTTTCGATATTGAAAATTTAAATTGGATTATTAGAACAGAAGTTATAGATTTTTTATACAAATAGTACCAAAAAATTCAAAGTCTTGTATTTCCGACATTTTTAATTTTTTTCAAAATGATTTTTGAGTAAGCCGTCTAAGCATAACAGGAACTAACTATATCCTTGCCCCATCCTCCTCTACTAATGTTAATATTTCGATTTATGTATCTTATTATTTCATGTTTTATTTTATTTACGTTTTTTGTACAATATTTCGATTGTTTTATTTTATGTACTTTTGAAAGATATTTTGATTATTTTATTTCTTATTGTGAACTAACATCTTTTTATTTTAATTGGTTTTTGTTGTATATATTAGACTCCCTGAAGAGGAAATCTGTGGATTTCGAAACGTTGGAGTAACATTAAACGAATCTTTGTCTGAATATCTTCGGTGTCCGTCTGTAGTTCTTACGTCTTAAGTTTTATGTATTAAGTCTTAAGTTTTAAGTCTTATGTATTAAGTCTTAAGTCTTAAGTTTTAAGTCTTATGTCTTAAGTCTTAAATCTTAAAACAACATAACAACCGTTGCCATGGCAACCGTTACTATAATAATAAAAGAAATTTCAATCTTAAATAAAAAAAAATTTCTAAATAAATTATTTTTTTTTGTCATTTTAGGCCACGAAACCCTATGATGTAGGCGAATTGCGTCTGCTTCTCTGACTGATTTTCTGTCTTATTATTAAAACCACTCAGACATTAAAGACTTACTATAGTTGAAAATGTTTTTTTTATTTTCGGTATCCTTAAATATAATATGTTTAATTGTATGTTCATTATTTTATTACACATCCTTTGTGTAATAGAAAAAAATAGAATATTATTCTTATGTTAATTTTTATATATTCCTCATTATAGTTCGTATTTAAAAATGTTTGCCCTTGGGAAAAAAAGGTCGCCATTTTCATACGGTCGAACAAATGAATGACTTTACTCCCTGTCGTCAGCTATCTAAAAGCGCCATTTTTGTGCATGTGGGATAAAAAAATATTTAAAATAAAATTATAAAATAAAATTTTTAATTAAAAAATTTACAGGGGAATTTAAAAAATATATCTTCAGGCAATGTAGGTTATGCGCTTTCAAAAAATTTGGCAAAAATTAATATGAATTAATGTATTTTTGAGTGTACGATTTGTAATCACATGGAAAATATGGAATGAGAGTATAATCGCAAATTCTACATGAATTGCACATCTTGCGCAAAATAATAAAGCCTTTCGTGCAGAAGTAAAATAATTTTTGGCAGGATTTTTTTTATTCGTATATAGCATTATGCACACTATATATATACATATATATTCTGTCGATGCCGTGTGTATGTTTGTTGCTTTCAATCCATTTTTCTTTTCTTCTTACACACAAACGTAATAACGGCTTTTGGTTTAAAAAATACGAGCGTGCACGGTAAGATTTATAAAATTACACTCATCAACATTGACTTGACCACAGGGGATTATTACACTAATTTAAAATCGGACGAAATAAAGTTTCAAATGCGAGATTTTCTTTTAAACCAAAGTTTTACAAAGAATTATCATAATCGTTTTCTATATTTATATCAGTTTTTCTTTCTTTCTTACGTTCTTTTGTTTGTTCATGTTACGCTTCTGACAAGATAATTTGCCTGCATTACAAAAATTTGCAATTTGATGGAAAAATAAATTTTTGCACGGAAACAAATATAAAGCAATCTGAACTATACTTACAATTAAGTAAAATGTAAATTGTCTAAAAGAATAAAGGAAAACTTGGATCAATTTTGACTATCACTCGATTTTATTTTAATTTTTATTATTCGTAATAAATATTCAATAATTGAGCCGCAGCGTGGTAGGGATTAGATTTGACCAATAAGAAGACTGGATTCTTTCCACTTCTATGTAACTCGATCTACAATTTACTACTATCTTTCTCAACCGCAATATCTACTTCGAGTCGCGTAGAAATGGAAAGAATCTAGTCCCCGCCGCACAATTCGAAGTAGATACTCAGATTGGGAAAGACAGCCAGAGCGTAGCTGCTGTTATTGCACTCCCCAGGTAGAAATTTCAACTCTGTAATGACCAGTCACTGGGAAGTTTTTCTAGATTCTGGCCAGTGATTGATAAGAAATGTAACGCGCTGATTTACCAGTCACTGGTTCGATTATTTGGCGCAGCCACGGTGACAAGATACTAACTTATCATAACTACAAGTTTAAGAAGAAGAACTGGTCACCGATCGTGACCAGAATTTCTGGCCAGTGACTTGTCTGAAGTAATGATGAGATAAACTGATTAGTCAATTGTCAGAGACTTGACGGCTTATCTTGTCAAAATTTAGAAAAATGTAAACTTTGGTAATGTGATAGTGAAACGATCAAAACTTTTATATAAAGTTACTTTAGACTTTTCTGTTTTTGACCGTATGGAACATAAAAATTATTTTTAATATCTAATTATAAATGATTGACTATGAGTGTATTTTTATGGGACTGGTGCTTTGCTTTTTCCTTAGTAACTGGTCAGTTTCTGTGTCCGCAAGTTTCTTTTTTTGATAGTGTCAATATTTTCTGGCTAGAGATTTGGAAAAATCTAGAATAATTCTTTTAATAGGATTCGTCAAGTTTTTCTGATCAGTCGTGGACCAGTTTTTCTAGGTGGAATCTTAAATAATTCTTCAAATTAGTGACTGGCCAGTGTCTGGAAAGAAATTCTTATTACGATTATGATCAGATTTTCTGGTCAGTGACTTGACAAAACTACTGTTCACAAAGGGGAATTGTTTTTATCCAGTGAAACTGGCCAGTCACTTATTCAGGACTGGCCAGATTGTCTTAACTAATGAATTTTTCTAGTTTTTAAATTTAGGGGATAGTGGGGCAAAATGGGGTAGGTGGGTCAAATGGGGTACCCCTGTTTTTCCATGATAGGTACTTTTAATTTTTTTATCCTCGATGTACATATATCATTCATATTGATAAAAAACTGTTATTAATAATAAAGACACAAAAAAAATATTTTTTTGAAAGTTACACAACTTTAAAGTTTTAGGCAAAAAAATATGAATATTTATCGAAATTAAAGTACTTACAAAACTTTTTGGGATAAGGCATTTAAATTGGCAAGTGTGGGATCTTTTTCAGCACTTAATCTTGGAAATTACTCTAGAGTAATTTCCAATAGCTAACGTATCTGACGTAACAAATTTAACTATATAGCATTACGTGACTGACGTAAGTAACATAACTAACTGAACTAACGTAACTTATTTAACTATCTAACTAAACTAACGTAAGTAACATAACTAACTAAACTAACGTAACTGACATAGCTAACGTATCTAACGTAACAAATTTAACTAACATTGCGTAACTGACGTAACTAACTAAACTAAGGTAACTAACTAAACCAACGTAACCAATCTTACGTCAGTTACGTCAGATAGTTAAATTAGTTACGTTAGCAATGTTAGATACGTTAGCTACGTCAGTTACGTTAGTTTAATTAGTTATGTTAGTTATATTACTTACGTTAGTTTAATTAGTTATATTAGCTACATCAGATACATTATGATATATATGGGCAATTCCACGTCCGATTTCAGTTCTCATTTTAAATTTGGCCAAAACAATTTTTTTTTTTGCATTTTTTTTCCATTCAAAAAATGGATACGTATTTTTTTATTTTTTTTTTTTGTGGCCAAATTTTCGAGTGACGAATTTTTGAAAATTTGACTTTTGAAAAGTAGACATTTTTTAAATGGCCTACTTTTAAAAAAAAATTTTTTTTAGAAAAACATAGCTGGTAATGATAAGAATAGTTTGAAAAATGTTTCAGAGTGATCTTCTTGAATTTGATGGTTAAAATAAATTTTTAATTTTGGTGTGCAAGTTTTACACGCACAACGTTTTACTAACTTAAGGGGAGGAACCGGTGAAATTTCAACTCATCTAAATTTTTGTTGTTTATAGGTGGTTATTATTTATTTTTTTAAAAAGTTTTCTTATTTTAAATTATAATATGCTTCGAAAAATTAAAAAAATTTAATTAGTTAAATTTTTTTAAAATAAATATCAAAATTTTCAAAAAATAAAAATTTGAACTTTTCTTGTAATTTTTATTAATTTTCATTGCCGATTTTGATATATATGTGACCTGGTCTATGAAAAGGGACCTTACGTGTCAAAAAATCATTTTTTACTTTTTTGTTGATTCGGATAGGGGTTGAAACGCTCTTTAAGATGGTGAAAACCAAAAA